ACAACTGGGGGCCGAAGTCACACCGGCCAGCCGGTTTGGTACAGCTGATGCGGCCGCGATGGCGGGTGCCGACGGGAACTGGCGAGCGCGTGTTGAATGCCGCGCACGCATTGCCAGACGAGTCTAGAATGGCCCGGTACACCGCAGGAAGCCAGAGGTGGCCGGAGGAAGCCCGACGGTCTGACAGGACACCCCAAAGCATTTTTGTGAAAAAGCATTGGGTTTTTGATGATTTTATGTTGAAATGCTTGCAAACACACGGTGTTCGGTAGGATTCTGACATGAACGCGCGAGTGTGCTCTTTGTGGTATTTTTTGCACAGGATTCGCGGCCTGGGTGCATGACAAAGCGTCGCGAGTGCACCGCGCGATGACGTGAAATCGCTGGATTTGACCGAATTATTAAGATTCCTATGGTTTTCCTATGATTTCAGCAAGAGAGCCCGGGCGGGAAATTTGTACAATTTTTGTGAAAAAACATTGGGTTTTTGATGCTTTTATGTTGAAATGCTTGCAAACACACGGTGTTCGGTAGGATTCTGACATGAACGCGCGCGTGTGCTCTTTGTGGTATTTTTTGCAATGGATTATCGCCGTGGACGACAGGACGTCCATGTCGAGAGGAAAAAATAAGAAAAATGTTGATTTTGTATTGTTTTTTACAGGTTAGGATGGGACCACCCGGATGCGCCCGCTATCTGCCGGCCTGAGGGGGGAGTAGGAGTATATTCTAATAAGGAATAAGGATAGGAGTAGGAGTAGGAGGAGGAGGAGGAGGAGGAGGACGGAGGAGGAGGAGGAGGAGGAGGAGGAGGAGGAGGAGGAGGAGGAGGAGGAGGAGGAGCAGGCCCTCCTGCGCCCCGCCTGCCTCTTGCTGCTGCCGGGAGCGAGGCGTGGGGGCGGCGCGGGCCGACGGCACGCGGCCTGGGCGTCGGGGCAGAGGGTGCGGTCCGACGCGCGCGCCCCGCCCCGCCGCGTCGTGTCGTCGTCGTCGCCGCTTGCGCACGGACCCTCCGCGGGGCTCTCGGCTGCTGCGGCCGGCTTCTGCACCCGCGTGATGCCGTGGAGGACGATCGGTGGAGAGGAGGCATGCTGCCGAATCATTTCCGGACGTCTAAAACATGTGGTCAAACATGCTTTAATCATGCTGTTAAGCATGTTTTGAACATGTTTGGAACATGTTCCTGCATGTTAAACACGTGACAGGACTGTTGGGATGTCCATTGTCGTGGCATCCACAGGCGTAGTGTCTGCTGCGGGCCCAGCGGAACTCAGCCCACCCTCAGAGGCGAGCCAGGGCCCGCCTGAGGATGAAGTGCGGTTCTGCTCTCGGGGTGAAGACATCCCAGACGCCGCCGCCGCCAGCGCGTCGTGGCTCTTTGCGCGGCTCGCGCCTCTTGGCCCGCCCTCTGCTTCTGCTTTTGGGGAGCTCTTGCACCGAGCTCCCAGTCTAGTTTTTCGTGTTGCTCAGTTGCCTCCGTCTTGCCTTTTTCTTCCTTCTACTTGCTCGCGCCCGAGGCGCGTTTGGGGCTGTCGCTTTTCTTTGGCATCCGTAATTCTACGTCAGTTTCAACAGCTTCTTTAGGCTTCAGCCTAATCTAAGTGCCCTATTCGTTTTCCCCTCTGAAGCTCGCTTGCGTGTTTACTCGATTGTTGGCCAGTTGGGCCATGGGTGATGCGCGCGCGACGCCAATAACTATTCTTCCGGCCTTGTTTCTGTGGTTCGTCCCACTTCTTGTCCCCGCTTGCCTCTCTGTTGAACCTGCGACCTCGGGCGTTTTTTTTTTTTTTTTTTTTTTTTTTTTTTTTTTTTTTTTTTTTTTTTTTTTTTTTTTTTTTTTTTTTTTTTTTGTTTTTTGTTTTTTGTTGTTTTCTTGTCTTTTCTTCTCTTGTTATATATATACACATATTCGGGGGTGATGGCCGCAGAAGCCTGGCCGTCTGAATTGTCCAGCGAATGTCGGCGCTTTCGGCGACTTGTTCTATTGCTTTTTGCTTATCCATCCGCCGGCCAATGCGCCTTTCGGCAGCCTGTTTCTTTTAGACCCCATCAAATTTATTAGTTTACTTGCATGGAGGGGGAGGGGGGGCTGAACCTGAAGCAAGCCGCAAACGACTTGCACGTGCGGAAGTCACGCAAGTCGAAAGGCGCCTGCACGCTAGTGTTCGTTGGAAGAGGAGCGAGGGGGGGGGGGGGGCGAAAGCCATGCCAGCAGACTTGCCCGAGTCTGAAAGACACACCCGGCCCCGGCTGCCCCGAGCAGCCGCACGGTGGAGCGGACTGCCTCCGCCTCCCCGCGGCGGGCGGGAAGCGCCCACCCATCCGCGATAGCGGCGACTGCCGGGGTGGGGGGTGGGGCCGGGGCGTGGGCCCCGGGGCGGGGCGGGGCGGGGCGGGGCGGTGCCCGCGGGGGGGTTGGAGGTGGGGGCGTTGGTGACGTCCAGGCCGGACGTGGCTTGGGGGCGATGGTGGCAGCGCTGGCGACGGGCGACGGCTTTTTGGGGGGCCCCGTTTTTGTTTTTCTGTTTTCTCATTTTTTTTTCCTGTTCCTGGAGGTGCACATAAGCACACTTGCGTTCTGGTGCACGCAGGCTGGAAGGGTCTGGGAGCGATAGTGACAGCGACGACGACGAGCGACGGCTTCTGGGGGCACCGGAGGTTTTCTGGAGGTGCAGATGGACATGCATGCGCTCTGGTGTACGCAGGCAGTGCGGCGTTGTGGCGCACATCGTCAGCTGCAGCAGCATCCGTGACAGGCATTGCGGTGTACACAGGCGTCGTGGCGAACACAAGCGGTATGGTCCGTGTTGCACACGGCTGCTGTGGTGTACGCAGGCGCTGTGGTGTACCTTGGCGCTGTTGTGCGTACGTATGGTGGTGCAGTAACGTCAGTGGTGTGCAACGGCATGGTGGTGTACACAATCAGTGCGGTGTAGCATGTATGGTGCACGTACTCACTGCTGTGTACACAGGCGTTGAAGTGCACATTGGCTGTGTGGTATATGCGAGCATTGTGAAGCCCGTTCTTCGGGACTGAACAATTAATAATTGCAAATCGCTATCATGGTGAACTTGATACGTGCGGAAACTTTACGTATGTCAAGTATTTTCCCCGTCGATGCCTTGAATGTGTAAACAGGCTTTGTGGTGTACTGAGGCAGTGTGGTGTACAAGTTCCATGGTACATACACGGTGCTGAAGCGGCAGCTGTGTTGCACACGGGAGATGTGGTGAGCACTGGAAGTCCAGGCACACAGGCGCTGTGTGCACTCGGCTGCTATGGTTAATACCAGCATCGTGGTGACCGTGGTGTAAGCATGCCCTGTGGTGCGCACATTAGTTGTTGCTGCTGCAGCAGTTATGGTGTAGAAAGGGCTGGTGTTGTACGCAGTCATTGCTTTGTACACAGGCATTGTGGTGTTCAAATGCAACGTGGTGTGTCAAGGTATTGTAATGTACGTAGGCCTTGTTGTGAGCACGTGCGTTGTCGTGCACACATGCTCGGTGATGTATGCAGGCGTGGGGGTGTACACCGGCACTTTGTACACATGCGTGGTGATGTACAGGAGCACTTCGGTATACACAGCCATTGTTTTTCACATTGGCCTAGTGGTGCACGCAAGCACCAGGGTGTTCACAGGCGCTGTGGTGCACGCCAGAATGGTGGTCTGTACAGGCACTGGCGTACCTCGGAGGTTCCTCCACAGGTATACTGTGCCGCGCACAGGAGCTACGTCTGCTGCTCGTGGCTACTGTCAGCAGCCCTTACGCTGCGCAGACTCCAACCTACATGCTAACACTAGCTGTCTGTAGGTATTCTTAGGCATTCCCAGATGGCGCCGGCGCTAAACGCGATCTTATTATCAGGGGGAGAGGGCCAGTAACGGCCGTTCTCGCGTACCAGTTAAATGGGCTCTTCTTGTGTTGTGAAGCTGCTTGTCGGGGTGACTGTCTGTGGCAAGAATCTAGCGTGTCTCTGAGCGCCAAGGGGCTTAGGAACCACTGCTTGGGGTTGACAATGCGCTGGTTTCGGGCCCAGGGAGGTCACGTGCGTTTAGAAGCCTGACATCGAGATGCGTAATTGCGAAACTCAGCAACACTGAGTTTCGGAGGCCGGACGGATGCACTCAAGCAGAAGTCATGGTTGCCAATTTGCGGAGTGCCCAAGGATGTTGCAATGCTGCGAGTTGCGTAATTCCATTGGCAGTGGTTGAACTTCTCGATTGCTGAAGCCTGGGCCGCACAGCCTGACACGGGATGGACAGGCTTGGACACCTTCCATAACATGATATTCTCCAGACTCTGCGTGTGTGAGGGTGCAGTGTTATCCTGTCATCCTCGTGCGCCCGCTGCCGACCTGCAGGGCCGGGATGGGCGCATGTACAACGGCCAGTGGCAGTGCGACACTCAGGAGGGCATGGGCACGGAGACGTCCGCAGACGGAACCAAATACAGTGGTGGCTTCAGGCTGCGGCTGGGATGCGCGTCGAAACTTCGCCTCCTTGTTTCAGATCGTGCTCATCTTTTTTTGTGTCATCCTTTTTTTCTGTGGATCGGCACTTTGATCACAACTCCTGAGCCAAACTGCGGCAGTAGCGCCGGCTGCGTACCTCAGGTGTGCTTCCCGAGCTCTTGAGATCTTGACGCCGCGATCGGTCACTGGAGTCGCGGAACTGCGTCAGAAACTCACTCAATACCCTACTCATGCCGGACGTGAGAAAGCTGGAGGTCCTCTGGTTTCGGAGGCGACGATGGGGCGAAGAGCGAAGAGCCCAGGGAGGAATAGAACGCATATATCCATGCGCGCTGATGGTTCAGGTCTTCGGCGAGGCTCCCCAGCGAGTGCGTTTGAGACCCGCCCCACTGGTCTGTTCGCCCCTACCATGGGACACGGAATCACGGAAGCCTCCGCTCGCCTTGGATTCAGTGTACGTCGGCGAATGGAACCCAGTGGCGCTCAAGAGAGCCTACTGGCGCCCAATAGTAATCGCCCGGTAGCGCTGAATGGCGCCCAAGTGGTGACCAGTAGAGCCCCATAGCGCCCAGTAGCGCCATGTGCGTGAGGTGCATCATCAGGTCTGCTCTGCGCGCGCTTGGGCGCGCCATTGGACGCCACGGGGGCGGCCAAAAGCCTCCGTGGGTTGCTTTCTAATTGCAGTCAAGGCGCTGGAATGAGGACCGCCTTGGGTTCACGAGGGGCTTCGGTTTTCGAGCCGCCCCGTACACTCGAAGGAAGAAGCATGGGACCACGACCAAGATGTCGCGGGACCTGGTCGATGCCGATCTCGGTCATGGTCCATGTCGGCCGTCGCTGATTCGCGAGGATGATCCACGAGTTAACGCTGACCAAGATCGACGGTGACCAAGAGCGACGCGCTGTTTTCGCATGCAATCTTAGTCATTGTCACCGCTTCCCCCCCCTCCATGATCTAGGTCGGGGAGCCTGCAGTCGACCTGCATGGTCAGGATGGGCAACCTTCCCAAGGGTACCCTTGCATCCTTGCCCCTTCGGCCCATCCTTACAGATTTTCGCTGGCCAGCCTCGTTCGAAAAACGTGCACATGGCCCTCCAAGGCCCTTGCATCCGCACCGTGCATCCTTGTAATACGGGTTGGCTGTTTTCGTGGCCGAGGCTCGCCGCTCCTTGCCTGTCTCTCTCTCCAGCCGCACGATGCTCTGCTCAAGTCGGGCATGTCCCTCCTCCGGAGGAATATTCAGAAGCAGTCCAAAAATAGTCGGGGGAGTATTTTTGACAAGCTGTTTTGTGACTATTTTGTCCGTTTTGGCTTATCTCGGCAATGTACTTGACCATCTCATGTTTGTGACAAGCTTTAAAATCCATTGTCCAAAATCCGCCAGTAGGAGGACATGCCCGACCTGATGCTCTGCACCGTCGCCCTCCGCGCGTCGGGGCTATCGCTCCCGCGGGTGCTCTGGGCTCTGGGCCCGCCCGCGGCGCCGAGGGCGGCGGCGGGGGGCGGCTTGCGCGCCAGGCGAGGCCGCAGGGCCGCGCTCCCGCGGCTACCGCGCCGTGCCCCCTCCAGCAGCGGGCAGCGGGCCACACCGTCCTCCTCCTCCTCCTCCTCCTCCTCCTCCCTCCTCTCTCCCTCTCCTCCTCCTCCTCCTCCCTCCTCCTCCCCTCCCCTCTCCTCCTCCTCCTCCTCCTCCTCCTCCTCCTCCTCCTCCTCTCCTCCTCCTCCTCCTCCTCTCCTCCTCCTACTCCTCCTCCTCCTCCTCCCCCCTCCCCCCTCCCCCTCCCCCTCCCCTTCGCCGCGCCCCCCTGGGTGGGGGGGAAGCGAAGGGCAGCAGGCACAGCATGAGCAAAAGCTTCTGGGGGCTCCGCACGGGTTCCTCGGAGCGGCGCCTGGCCCCCCTCCCTGGCGCGCGGAGGCACCGCCGGGGGGTCCAGCGCAGATGCAGGCAATCCGCGCGGAGCTGGTACTGGCATATGTCGAGCACCGGGCGGTACGGGGCGCATGCAAGAAGGGGTGCGCCTGAAGCTACAAAAGGGGGAGGCTCTTCCGAGGCGGGGCTTTTTCTCCAGGATCACCGCCTGGGGGGGTCGATGTTCGGCTCCCGGCTCCTCCTCCTCCCGGCTCCTCCTCCTCCTCCTCCTCCTCGCCCTCCCCTTCGCCGCGCCCCCCTGGGGGGGGGAAGCGAAGGGCATCCGCTCTTCGGAGGCGGGGCTTCTTATCCAGGACTACCACCCCGCAGAGGATCGATTTTTTGGGGGCCCTCGCAGGCGGTGGACACGGATATATGCGTGCCCCCTGGGGCCAACGTATCCTGAGATCCCGGCGATTCAACTTTTTCGCGCCGGGCATTTTCGCCTTCGCTCAGGCCCAGGACCCTCACAGATCGATCCAGCTCGACAAAAGGGGCAGAAAGATGGGGTCGAGGTCTCCAAATGTGACTTTTTACGTTTTTTTTTTTTTTTTTTTTTTTTTTTTTTTTTTTTTTTTTTTTTTTTTTTTTTGTTTTTTTTTTTGTTTTTTTTTTTTTTTTTGTTTTTATATATAAAATGCAGTCAACCCGCATAAAAAGGATGGGCAACCTTCGCAAGAGTACCCTTGCTTGCATCCTTTCATGGCACCAGCATCGCAGAGCGGATTTCGTTCGGAAAACCATCGGATGGGCCCGGATTGTCCTGGAGAATTTCTTTCTTGATTTTGAAGTTGATTTCGTGCGTATTTTTTTGCCAGGAATGAAGACCAAAACAAATCCACGCGAAATTCACTTCGTTTTTCACTCGCCGTTTCGGGGCTTTGTGTTGACGGAGATCCACGCAAAAGTCCACTGCAGCACGCCTGCAAGGTCGGTGCAGCGCCCCTTCGGCCCATCCTTGGCCACTTTTGCTGGCCGACCTCGTTCGGCAAACGTTCACAGGGGCCTCCAAGGCCCGTGCGTCCTTACCGCGCATCCTGATGACACGGGTTGACTGTATGCGGGCCCCTCGGGGCCAACGTATATCCACTTCCACCGCCCGCTGGGGTCCCATGAGGTCGATTCCACAGGCGGTGGGTGCGTGTGTATCCCCGCCTCGCATCCCTCGTCCTGCCCCTGGGCGATGCCATGCCCGTGGGTCGGGCATCGCCTGCTTGTGCCTTCCTCAGTGTGCACGATGCATGTGGTGTAGTGGGATGTGTGAACGAGCAGACGGTGAGAGGGGGTGGAGGATAGCCGCAGTATTGGTGCTGATCGTGTGGTTGGCACAAGTTTGTCCCGCTGTACCCCGTTCGTCCCACCCCAGCGTCACCCTTTGTGCTTCTCTCTTCATCTTGCGCCCCAGAGGGTCCTCGGATGACCCTCGGCGGAGTCCAAAGCCAAAGTCTCTCCAAGCTTTCCAAGTGGGGTCCGAGCAGATGGGCCTGGAGGATCGCGCCGCGATCGTGCCGCACTGCTGATGCACCGGCGCTGCGGCTCGATGCGTGGCGCGAGCGTCTCCACGCCGGCGGCGCCGGTGCATCGCCGATGCGTCGCCGATGCATCACCAATGCATCGCCGACTGCGTTGGCAGTGCATCGGCGAGGCATCGGCGATGCGTCGCGATCCTCCGACCCCATCTGCTCAGACCCCATGTGGGAGGCCACTGGTTTCTCTCAGGGTCCAGCTCCTGAGAGGTTGCATTCTTAACGCTTCGCGTATCCCCACCTGCTAGGCTTGTTCGTCGGTCCGGACACCCTGTTCGCCGCCTGCCTCTTCGCTTGCGGCCGCGACCAAAAAAGTATCCCCACCTGCCCATCCAGACACGATGTCCGGCGGAGTTGCCATGCATGGGGGAGCGTGGCGCCGTTTGGAGATGTCGGGGGCCTGTGTGGGCCAGAGGCTTCTTGGATGCTTCCTTGGGTCCCTCGAGGGCCTCTTGGATGCATCTTGTTCGCATCGGGGGCCCTCGTGGAACATCGTGGGTGCCTTTCCGGTGCCTCTTGGGGCATCTTGGGGGTCCCTTGGGGGCCCTGTGGGCTCTCTTGAGAGCTTTTTGGGCCGTCTTGAGATCATTTGGGAGGCTGTCGATCACAGAAGGGGGGGTCCCCTGACAGCGTTGCCCCCTCCCGCTCCCCCATGAATGAAAAACTTAGCCCAAACCCTAAGGAACATGAGTGGATTTTGCTTTCTCGCCGAGGCCATCTTGGATGCTCGGATCCCTCGCGGGGCGCACCGTTCAGACCCAGGGGGAGGGACTTCCCCACTAGGGCGGGCGAACCCCAGCAGTCAGAGCTCGGGCACGGGACCGGCAAGTACGGAGTATGCCCGCGCTCCAAGTTGGTCCCAAGAGGCCTCCAAGACGGTCCAAGAGGGGTCCAAGAGATCTCCAAGATGGCCCAAGACCGTTCCGAGACGTCCAAGATGGCCTCATGACGGCACACGAGGCCCTCAAGACGCCGCAAGAGGGCTCCAGAAACAGAACACCGAGAGGCAGAAAGAGCTCCATCCCGTTGGGAAGACGTACATGTTTAGCATATTCGCCCTTCTGTTCTATACAGGGCCGAGGATCTCCCACAGGAGCCCAAGACGGCCTCCGAGGCTCCCTAAGACGCCCCCAAGACGCCCCCAAGACCTTGCCCAAGGAAAAAAGGCACCATACCCCTCCATGTTGGACAAGGCCAACAAGGGACACGTGAAGGGCAGCGTTATTGGCGCTCATTTGGGCCCAAGAGGCCCCCACGAGGCCCGAGAGAGCTCCCAAGAGGAACAAGAGGCCCCCCAAGAGGCTCCCCAAGAGGGCACGGCTCGTGGTATTATTCAATACAGGCGACCCTCTACTTGCAAAACATTATAACCCATTACTACATTGCCAATAATGTACTATTTTTTCGCCTGGCTATTGCGCGACAGACTCCAACCAGTAATTGTCTTTGCGCAGTGCCCAGACCAGGCTGCGTACCAGAAAAGGGTATTTCGACTGTTGACCATTTACTCACACTGACGCTACTCACTGAAGGATGTGCAGAGTGGAATCATTCGCT